GCTTCAATATGTTTGCGCCAAATTAGTCGTCTGTCTAGGTGGATACCTAAGTACGTTATATTATCTGCTTGTGGTATGGGAATGTTGTTTAGTAAAATTGTTGGAGATGTACTCTGATTTAAGGTAAAAATGACGTGTCTACATTTTACTTCGTTAATTTTAATTCGCCATTTTGACAACCATTTCTCCACCCGATATAAGTGAGATTGAAGTTGGTTTGAACCTAACACAGCGTTTCTGTTTCGCCATAAAATTGCCGTATCATCGGCAAACGTTGTGGTGATAACTGAACTACTTATCGGGATATCAGATGTGTAAAGTACATACAATATAGGGCCAAGAACACTTCCTTGTGGAACGCCAGCTTCTATTGGGAAATTATTAGAAGTATATGATTTGCATTTCACTTTAAAGCTTCTATTATGCAGATACGATTCTAGAACTGAGTGGACATTTGCAGGTAATGAATAGCGTATCTTATATATGAGTCCATTATGCCATACTTTATCAAATGCTTGTTTAACATCAAGGAATACCGCGGAACAATATTCTCTGAGCTCAAATGCGTGTCTTATTTCATTCGTTATACGATTCACTTGCTCAATAGTTCCATGTTTTTCCCTAAAACCAAACTGGTGGGACGGTATTAAGTTTTGAACGTCAAGGAACGATTTTAGCATGGAGTTTAGAAAGGCATGGCAGTAAGCTTATTGGCCTGTATGAACAGGCAAGCGTGGGGTCTTTACCTGATTTATGAATTATAATAATCATGGATGTTTTCCACTCTGTTGGATAAAAGCCAAATTTAATTATGGCATTAAAAAGTCTTGTGATAAAATTTATGGCCAAAAGGGGTAAGTTTTTTATCATGATGGGTGAGATATTATCATATCCCGGTGCTTTTTTGCAATCTAACTTATTTGTGATTATTTGAACAAGATCATTGGCCGTGATATTCATGTCAATAGATGGTGCTGGTGGATCTTGAGTGGGAAAGTCATATTGTCCTGCTGCAGGATTTGGTTGGAACACCTCTTTTAGGTAATCAGCAAAAACGTTAGATTTTTCTTCATCACTTCGCGCCCAGTTTCCAAGAGAGTTTCTTATTGGAGAATTGGAGTCTATGGGAGGATTTATACCTTTGCTAGCATTCCACAAAGATGAATGGTTTTTGCCATTTGGACATAGGTTTTGAATATAATTATATTGTCTGACTTTGACTTCCTTGCTTAATGCAGATCTAAGTCTCCTTTGGGCTTCCTTAAATAAGTTTTGCGCTAAAGGGGACCTAGATTTTTGCCATTCACGCCTTAATCTACGTTTTTGTAAAACTAAATTCTCTATGTCACTATTTGTAAGTACTCTATTGAATCTGTAAATTTTATTGCCTTTAGGGGTGGAGTTTTCTGCTGCTGAAATCAGAATTGAGTTTAAAACCGAGGTTGCGTCCTCAATATGAGACTTACACTTTATCTTGTAATTTGTGTGTATGTGTGAGTTAATATACTTTTTATATTTGAGCCAGTTTGTTCTAGGACTTGTAAGGCTATAGGAACAGTCATATAACTGAGGACCATCAAGTAAGCAAAATGTAACTGGAGAATGGTCAGAAGACAAATCGCAGCTAGTGTATGTTGAGATAAAATTTTTGCTTATGCCTTTGGTTACGGCGAAGTCTATTAGGTCTGGTATTTTATTGTTATCAGCAGGCCAATATGTTGGCTGCCCAGGAGAGATTACGTCTAGTGCATTTTTTCTATTTACAATAGAATTGCAGAGCTGTTTTCCTTTTGGATTACAGAGTCGTGAACCCCAATACGTGTGCTTGGCGTTGTGGTCTCCCGCCGCAAGAAATCTTTCACCTAGAGTTAAAAAGTAATCCGTAAATTGGGTCTCAGTAATGTTGAAGCGAGGAGGGCAGTAAACTGCCGATAAAGTTAAATTTTTTCCTGTGTGCTTAAGGCATATTGATGTGGCTTGCATATAATTATGAGCATATGTACCTAGAAAATTGTGTTTTAGACACCTTCGTATCAAAATACCTGTACCACCATGTGCTTTGCCATCTGGGTGATTGGTTTTATAGAATAAATAACCAGGAATAGAAAAGAAATTTTTGTTAGTTAGATGTGTTTCTGAGCAAAGCATTACATCCACACTTTCTCGGGACATGAAATTTGTGAGTTCAAGTTTATGTTGGCTTAAGCCGTTTGCATTCCATGTACAAATTTTTAAAGTACTCATTATTTAGACAAAAACATTTGCATTAATTGGCTTTGCATTTTAACTATCTCGTTAAGAGTAGTTTGCATGATTGACATGAACTGAGTTAAGCTCTGAGTGAGTGGAGATCATTATTTCCAAACTATTACTTTGAACTGGAGGGGCTTGTTGCTTGTCAGATTTAACGACATTAGCATATGAAACACCTGGTGTAACAGGCTTAGAAGTTAAAGGTTGAGGTACTTCAACTAATTTAATGGTGTTGCTTCTTGTAGGATTACGCAACGCTTCTTTCTGCAGAGCTAAACTGTGCTTTAGTTCTTTATAAATAGGACAGCCTCTGTAGTTTGCAGTGTGATTTCCACTGCAGTTGCTACATTTTTTGGTATCCTTTAATGCTTTTTTATCGCATTCGGAACTATGGTGAAGCTCGCCACAAGCTACGCACACTGTACGAAGAGTGCAATATGACTTAGTATGGCCATACTCTGTCAGATTTTGCAAAGAAAGAGGGCTCTATCCTTTATGTATTTTTTGATGGGATAAATCTTGATGTCTTGAGGATGTCATTCGTCCTAATGTACCATGGAACCTTGAAAAGTCTTCTCAGAGCCTGGCTTTGTGCAATTTCTAGCTGGTGACTAGTAGTGTTTGAAGCTTTGCTAAACACATCCGTATTGAAATGACGGACGTATTATTTGGTTATATATCAGCTTCCTGTTCTTAGTATTGAGATTTTCATTTTTAAGTAGAGGTTGGAGGTAATGAAGAATTTTGGCACAGCTAATTCTTTTCAGTTGAACATGTTTAAGTCATGTGAATCGTTTGTCCAACGTGATGCCGAAATATTTAACGTTATCCTCTCAGTTTATCACTATATCACCCACTCTCACTACTGTTCGCAAAACTTCCATATTTTATTATTAAAAAAAATTTTTCTTATCTGACTTTTCATTATTCAATATTTATTATTTATTTCATCATATCCAGTCAACATGTCATACTCACGTGCGTTAATGTTACGTGTACGTCACGTGTACCACAGTAGTGTGGAAAGCCATAGCCTTCTGTGAATTCAAGTCATAATTAATAAATGTAATAAATAAATGCATAGAGGAGAATATGTCATCAATAAATGTCAAACACATATCAGGATTAAATATATTAATTTTATTTAAATTCTCATGTCAGAGTAAATATATTTTTCTGAAAAAAAAACAAAAACCATTAAAATCATGCGAAAGACAACGTACAATAGAATTCAAGTACTAGTACCAGTACAGCCAGTGCTGCCAGATGGTTACAGTTTAATAACAAATTCTTAAACATCTATAAATGTAATTCTTTACATAAATATTTACTTGTCATTTATATACTAAATATACGATATATGTATATTCATTTATGTATTTATACTTCAGAAGTAAAAAATATAAAAAATCGTAAATACAAACAATTTGGTAATAAATTTTCGTTAAATATAGTTTTTTGGTTTTATAAATTCAACAACAATAAAGTGCGCTTTTACAGTTCACAATAAATACTAATTTTTTTTTTTTTGAATATTTTTTTTTCTTCTCATAATTACGTATAATTAATATTTTATTTAGTTTGTAAATAGAAATTCAAATTTCGTCTATAAATTTTTTTCTTTGTTAATTCAAGTAAAGTAACAGATTTCACAAGATGCTTATAGATTCCGAGATCCCCATCCTTGCGACAGAGAATCGGTGAATGAGTTGACAGCTGAAAGGGGGGATGAGTGTGACTAAAAAAAGTTTACGCTTTTAGGCCGTGTGCGAATTCGAGTAAATTAAGGTAAAGTAAATTGAAATTTCCTAGGGATTTTTGGCACTACACTTATGTAAATATTTATTTATTTATTTGTTGCACTTATTTATTATTTTTGGTTAAAAGTTTTCAAATTTATTTATTTATTTATTAAACATCTTACAAAATTTTCACAATGGTAACACCTAACTTAACTAATTTTTATCTAATTTACACTACTTGTAAATCAGGTAAATACTAACATTCGCTGCCATACCGACATAATTTACTATTACCCTCAATTTACCAGCAATTTACTCGAACTCGCACATGGCTTTATTAATAAAAATAAATTTTATAACAAAAATCTAATTTTTTTAAAGTTCATAAGTGCGCCTTGGTACTTTTAGTGCTTTTTTGAAATTTAATTTATTTATTTTTTTTTCTTTTTTTTTGTAGTTAAAATTTAACTTAAAAAAAGTTTTAATGTTTTTCGCTGTCCAAAATGATGAACAGTTTTTGTGGAGAGTTGAGGAGATAATGAATGCGTATGTGCAAGTATAAAGTGTGTACGTGTGCGTGTATATGTTTATGTTTTATGTTTGCGTATGTGTGTGTGTTGCCAATAATAAATAACAGTGGTTAGCCCCATACACGTAGGCCACATATTATGGCTGGTGGATGTGCATGCCTTTGTATGTAGCCATAAGGTTGATGCTCTTCCTCTTGTTGTACTTGTCCCGGCTGTTGGTCTTCATATGCGTGCGTGTTATGTTGTTGTTGTTGTTGTTGTACTTGTTGTAGAAGATTACGGGACTGATTGACAATGTTAGCTGAATACGTGTTACTGTCATTGTTATTGTTGCCATTGTTTTTGCCACTTTTACTGCTGATTTTGTGAGCGCTGTAGGCAACACTGTTACCGCTATTGCTGCCGCTGCTATTGCTGTTGATATTTAAGATATTTGTGGTCCATTCGATGTCGTTAGCTGACATTTTTTTCTTTATTTCCATTTTTGACATCAGCTATGCTGTCACATAATACTCACGCTGACGTTTTTGACACTTTTCTCGCGCTATATAGCACAACGCTATGGTTATCAGTATGGCAATGGTCACTCCCATGCCGATGGATACCCACATGATCTCCTCATTGATGCCCACATATGACCGACCTGTTGTTATAAATGGAATCGAAAAAGGCAATAAATACAGAAGAATTAAATTTAAATTTATTATTTTGCGGTTAAATAATTCAGCTTAAAACGTTTTTGTGCCACCGAAATGTGGGAAATGATGGTCTTGTGATTGCTTCATAGTTGCCAAAAGCATTGTAGAAGAAGAAATTAATTAATTTTGTATTAATTACGAAAATATGTTGATTTTGTAATTAAATTAATTTTTACTAATTATAAATGTAACGCCAACATATTCATTTGTGTAAGTTGTGAAGGGAAACTAAGCGACGACTACTTCATTATACGTGCGCTCGCATAAATGAGGTCCTAATTAATGAGAGGATGTGGTAAAGGGCCTTTGAGAATATATATAGTATGAAATAGAAATTTTGAAAATTATTTTGTTAAAGCTGAATATATTTTAATTTCCTAATTTTACTTTCAAATTATTATTAAAATACTATATTAAACATTTTCTATGTGCAAAGCACGAAGAATATAACTCTTGATTTTTGATCCTGTGGTTTATAATTACTGAAATACTTTCAATTAATATAATAGTTCATCATAAAATTATTTCTACTTCCTTAATATACATATAAACATCAGTGACTTTATTAAAGTCTATACTATACCACTTCATTATACGTGCGCTCGCATAAATGAGGTCCTAATTAATTAGAGGATGTGGTAGAGGGCCTTTGAGAATATATAGTATGAAATAGAAATTTCGAAAATTATTTTTTTAAAGCTGAATATATTTTAAAATCCTAATTTTACTTTCAAAACTGTTTTAAAATACTATATTAAACATTTTCTATGTGCAAAGCACGAAGAATATAACTCTTGATTTTTGATCCTGTGGTTTATAATTACTGAAATACTTTCAATTAATATAATAGTTCAACATAAAATTATTTCTACTTCCTTAATATACATATAAACATCAGTGACTTTATTAAAGTCTATACTATACCACTTCATTATACGAGCGCTCGCATAAATGAGGTCCTAATTAATTAGAGGATGTGGTAGAGGGCCTTTGAGAATATATAGTATGAAATAGAAATTTTGAAAATTATTTTTTTAAAGCTGAATATATTTTAATTTCCTAATTTTACTTTCAAAACTGTTTTAAAATACTATATTAAACATTTTCTATGTGCAAAGCACGAAGAATATAACTCTTGATTTTTGATCCTGTGGTTTATAATTACTGAAATACTTTCAATTAATATAATAGTTCAACATAAAATTATTTCTACTTCCATAATATACATATATACAATATACATATTCCAATATATACAATATACATATTAAAGTCTATACTATACCACTTCATTATACGAGCGCTCGCATAAATGAGGTCCTAATTAGTGAGAGGATGTGGTAAAGGACCTTTAAGAATATATAGTATGAAATAAAAATTTTGTTAAAGTTCAACACATTTAAATTTACTAATTGCAGAAAATTTTACTTTTAAAATATTATTTAAAAATATCAAAATCAAACATTTTCTATAGGCAAAGACCGAAAAAACTAAATCCTGATTTCTGTTTTATAATTACTGAAATACTTTTAATTAATGTAATAGCTTGAAATTTGGCAGGACGCGTGTTCAATTCCTGGTACTTGCAGTTTTAAAAAATTATTTAAGAATAAGTAAACACAAGTATTATTTTCAAGACCACTGATAATGGGTATTTGGCAATACTCGAAACAGCTATATGGTCAGCAAAAAATTCAATTAATTAAAATAATATAAAATAAATTTTTGTTGTTGTAGTTCACTACTGTTCAAAAAACCTCTAATTGCAATTGTTCAACATAAAATTATTCCATACAAACATCAGTGAATTTATTAAATTCTATGCTATAAACCTGCAAATGGAACAGGTGTTGGGCTCGTTAATCAACAACACAGAAAACCAATTATCCATCAATCTAGGAAGAATAGTCTCAGTATTCCAAACTAAAATTTATACCTTAAATCAATGTTTCCCAACGGTATGGTTAAAAATGGTGCGTTAATGAAATTTGACAGGTGTGGATATATAGCTTGTAGTTTGTCCACTGACATCTCACTTATTATAAAATAAGCTCAAACAATTTCTAAGTGTGTAATTATATATATGTTTTATAGCCTATATAATATACGTATGTACTTATACAATTTATTATACAATAGTCTAGAGGTGATCTCTACATAGAATCCTTAGAACAGAATAGAATCCCTTCTATTTGTGATCCTTACAAAAAACAAAAATATTATAGTGGTCCTTGGTGAATAAAAGGTTGGGGACCACTGCTTTAATTATATACTTTGGACATCTACTATCAGAAAACTTATGAAAGAAGGATAACACTTTTGTGAATTCAATACTATATACTTTAAAAATGATTAGGGTTTGAGAATATACAACCCAAAAAATCAAATATTCGTCAGTATAAAATCAATATTTTTTAGTATTCAAAACTAAAACCGATTTCTTAAATATCTATGGTAAACACAATTATAAATTTATCATATGGATAAATATCTACAATCAAAAAATTGAAGAAAAAAAGATAATGCTTATTTAAGAAAGTCAAGCAGCTACCAAAGTTTTAGGCTCAACTTTGATTGTCTCTCCGTTGGAAGACAATCAATATTTCTCAAAACCTTGCTATTAGGAATTACGTGCTGTAACACTGAATACTTGCGCATAGTGGTCTTGATGTCAATGAAGTAATATACAAATCGGATCGGACTGGTGGTAATCACATGAGTCAAAACCAATTTTCGGCAATAGTAAAAAAATGAAATTTACTAATAAACAAAAATGGACTAAATAGGAAGAATCTCGATGTTCCAAACTTAATCCACTTAATCTGAAAATACTGAAATTTTAAAACAATGACTGATATGAAATAATGATATTTATAAAATGCTTATTTGGAAGCCAATAAATACAGACTATGTAAGGAGACTGAAACAACCCTAAATAATTTTGCAAAATGACCAGTTGTTATACATTAAGGAAAAGGTAGAAGAAGTAGAACCTATTAACCACTTTATATGTCTCTCTCCAGGACTATAGCCGAACCCACTACTTGGATACAATATCTTCGCACACTTGACAGGTATGTGGAAAATGGATTTGTCTTATCTCCTTAGCTTTATTTGTAAGACTGAATGGTTTAACTAGAATAATACATGGGGGTGACAACAGTTGGTACCACACGCCTCTCCTAGATAATTTTAAAGGCATTACAAAGGACAATTGATCTATCCAAGACGAAGTGTTGATAGTTATATGAGCATGAACCTAACCTAAACTAGTCTAAACATCACACCGTCAAGAGATTTGGATAAACTTAATCCTAAAATACTAAAAGGTTTTAACATTTGTGGTTCATTTAAGCTATAGCAACCCAAAGTACCATATAATAAAAATGGAAAAATTAGTATCATCTCAATTTAACCTGTGACTGTTACCCTCATAACCTCATTTAGGATTTTCGTCAGTTATTAAAATATATTTATTCCACAATCCCTTAACTAATAAATAAATCACCACAGCTTCACTTCAACATTTCTGTAGCTTAAATTTATGACTCAAAGGACTTAAGTTAAAGGACTTCATTTACGTTGTGTTCGGTCGTTCCGTCATTGAGGCTTACCCATTTCATTATGCTTATTAACAGCTGTTGTTGTTTGTCTACTTAAAGTATTTCATTACGAAAAGAATATGAAAAACACATCCTCCAAGAAACTTTGGACAAGCAACAAAAAGTTTTCTGTTCTCTGACAGAAAGGAGGCTTTTGGAGATTTCTCGTAAGGAAGATGTGGTGCGTGCTTATCCCAGACAGCAGATAAGCAGAATATCTGCATGGTTCGCAGTTATGATTAATTTCGGATTTTATTACTACGTGTTTCCATTTTCACATAAATAATAAAATATTTTCCGAGTATTTTTGTGAATTTGTCATTTGTGAACACAAAACTTCTCAGCGTGAATACAGATTTATGGTATCCGAAGTAGCGGTTTTTATTGAAATGTGTTACGGAAATGGAAGGTTGGTGGAGGTAAGAACATTGTACCCCGTCCCGTGAGAGCATGTCAACTGAAATTTGCAATAGATTTATATTGAAAGAATTATTTTACTCGTGATACTACGAGTATAAACTAATCAGTAATATTAAATAATAGAAAAACTTCACAAATAATTTTTACAGACAAGTTTATTTATAATTCATGTATGGATGTTTGTATATATTTGAAATTAGACTATGCAGAGTAGAAAGATGTTGATTATTGTTTGCTAATATTTTCTAGTAATTTAATGATACTTAAGATTTTTTTAAAAACTTTTTTTAAGAATATCGAGTACATATTGCTGTTTAACAAAGAAATTTAAGAAAATACAATAGACCTCAAGAAATAATTAGTTTGATTGCTTTGGTTCCTCTAGTTTGATAGTCTTAAATAATAATACATAAGACCCTACCTAAACCTACATATCTACTTGATATATCTACTTTAATATATAATATAATATAACATATAAGAAGTCTTTTTTAGCCACTTTCAGAACTCTGGAATAATCACAAAAACGTTGGATCTCAGAATAAACGGTGGACCATTGAAGAAAATAAAAGAAAAAGAAGAAGAAAAATTTAAAAGAACAATGAAATTAACCTTCTAATGGGTATTGAAAAGAAACTTTTCAGGCAAGCAATTGACCAGGTGGTTTTGAAAGACGTATTATATCATATAAGATCCATTATCGTTGTGATAATTTAAATATGTTAAATATACAATATCACAGTATAAAAAGATTCATAAAAAACTGACATTGCCATACAGAAGACTACGATTAGCTTCATAATTCTTTCTATATTCAATTTATAATTTTTTAAAAACTGGATTTCTTTATGAAAAAATCTCTAAATTCTAAAATCCCTGAAATCCCTAAATTTTGCAAGTAACTATAAAATTCTTGATTTTAGGGGGATTAAAGCTTCTTTCAACTCATATTATCAAGTTTCGATGCGTTTAAACTCACATCCAAAACATGACAATAAGACTAAACACCACATCAATGCCGCAATATAATGTAAGACTGAGAAGTTTTACTTGAAGGAAACCTGTTTTCGAAAAAAAAGAACTACCCTTCGTGCACATAACTGTGCTGCTTCAGCTCGTGCTTTGGATCCAAAACCGTTTGAAGTCTAATTCACAACTACAAGTAATTCTACGCTGCTGAAATTGTCAGCATTATTACCCGTGATATCATTCATCGTGCTGATGAGTGTTTCAATAAATGGATTAAGGATAACCTAAAAACACAATACTGAAGGCAAAAGTTTATTGAGAATGCACGTTAACCCTTCATCGGTTTATTGCCATTTTTTGGGTAATTCAGTGATATTAAGTGAAAAGTAATATATGTAAGAACTATTGTTTCCGATAATACCTACACCCATATTTTGCGACTATAAATCAATAGTCCGATCGGGTGCGATGGATGACTTTGGATTACTGTGTATAGAGATATATATATAGATAAATCAATAAACCGGATTCTATGCATAACTTTTGGTTACTGTGTAAGGCGAATCCATAGCGATAAATTAATGAATCGGGTGCCATGGATGACTTTTGGTTACTGTATAAAGCGAATCTATAGTGAAACATCAATAAACCGGGTGCCATGGATGATTTTTGGTTACTGTATAAGGCGAATCTATAGTGAAACATCAATGAATCGGGTGCCATGGATGATTTTTGGTTACTGTTTAAGGCGAATCTATAGAGATAAATCAATGAATCAGGTGCCATGGATGACTTTTGGTTACTATATAAGGCGAATCTATAGTGATAAATCAATGAATCGGGTGCCATAGATGATTTGGTTACAGATTTGGTTAAAGAAATCATTGAATGCGAATTTAAAGAGATCATTCAATCTGGTCGCAGAAATCATAGTTGACAAATTATTGCTACCATTCAAAGATGGAACCCTTCATCTATTATCATACACCTAGCTGTCTGATATTAACCATACTTTTACCAAATTACTATAGATTTGTTCATAGATACTTCTTAGTGTAACATAGTGACTCTCTTACTGTCCATTAGAGTGATAAATAATTTACGTTTAAAGCAATGGATTAATTCACCTCATTTCAAATTTAAGAATAAGTATCTGGTTTAAAGCAATTTAAAGAGTTCATTCATAACCCAGAATCTCATTTGCAGCAGACTCTATTGTAATTTTCACTTGTCATAAGTGCAGTTGAGGCTTAACACCTCGAAGGCTTATCACAAAACATGTTTGGAGCGTTCTAAATGTGCAAATGAATGATAATGCATCCCTCTTTTCCTCTCTTGTTTTTCCGCTATGTTTTTGAAAATAGTTTGCCTGTTATACTAACATAAACAGGACAAACTACTTTCCAACAATGTGCACAATACCATTTTACCATTTGCTATGACAAAGCGCAGTGTTAACACGACTTCGCATATTTGCACTAACACTGCCTGATTAGGGTTAAATAAACAATCGCTGGAGTATGCAAATCGTCAGGACACGGAACACTGCGTCACCGAACATTTGTTCGCAAACAAAAAATTTATTTTAATTTATTTGATGTTTGATCCTTAAAAACATTTTTTAATTTAATTACAAATATGTGTACCGCTAAAGCAGAACATAAAAAAGTTTTTAAATTTCGCAAATATAGAATAAAAATGGAAAAGCACTTAAAATAAATTTCGACCACACACGACGTACTCGGTGTGTTTCAGCCCTTTTTTGTTCCAGCACACAAAAGCGTATGAAGGATGCTGGTATGGAAAATGGTGTTGTATTCAGGAAAAAAGGTCTGAATTGAATAGAGCAATTGTGTAAAATAGTTAACACTTACGCTTTACCCCCCACTCAGATTACCATGTAACCGTAGAACCATTTTGTTGTTATGCACTTACCATTGTAATAATGGTTGGAATAGCTCGCTTTACCCGCAACACGTCCAGCTGGCATTTTGGTGGTTTCCTTTATTCAAATATTTTTTGTTTACTGTTTCTTATGTATTTTATAATTTTTTTTTTTATTATTTAAATATCCTTCACTTCTGTTTTTTTTTGTATATTTTTTTTATTTATTTACATACTCCCTGGGAGATTTTATGGTTTGTTCGTTTGGTACATGTAGTGCATGCGATTAGAACAAAACCAAACCGGATGTAGTTCAAGTACCCGCTATTTAAACTAATATCTTTTTTAAATTATGTATTCATTTGTTTTTATAAATATCTATTTAGTTCAGATTTTTTATATATTTTTGTTTCTTCACTTTACTGCACTTCGCTTGTCTTTGTTTCTGGGGGTTTTCTGGGGTGTTCTTATCCTTAATTAGAATTCATGATGCTGTGTTTTAACTTCTGCACTTGACACCACGGGATGCTGCAACAAATCCTCGAGCTCAGTCGCATTCAAATGTCGCCAATTTGGCGCCGCTTGCAAGTACGCCAACTTCATTTGTTATATATTTTATGGGGAAACTAAAAAATAAAGACAAGAAAACATATATTGAAAAGATTTATTTTATCGAAACTAATTTTACAAAATACTTAAAAATTTATGCGATAATTATTTAAAACACAAAAATATAATTTAATAATTGAATTTTTCATAATACTTTTTATAAAGAGATTTTTCGAACAGTAGTGAATTACAAAAACAAAAATTCATTTTATATTATTTTAATTAATTGAATTTTTGGCTGACCATACAGCTGTTTCGAGTATTGCCAAATACCCATCATCACTGGTCTTGGAAATAATTCTTGTATTATTCTTAAATTATGCTGAAATAATTTTTTGAGACTGCAAGTACCAGGAATCGGAGTCATGCCCTACCAAATTTGAAGCTCAGAGTCAGCGCTCCTTAACCAACTAAGCCAAAGCACATTTTTCTGGAGTTTTGTTATTTTGCTGTGAAAGGTTTTTTTATTAATAAATTGTTGTGTTTATATTAGAACGAAATCATAAACCAGCTGTAGAGTAATTGAATTAATTAATTATATTTTTATTTTTAATTGTTACATTTCAACACCGTTTTTTTGTAGAATGGCTCTACATGTTGCATGATTTATATATTCTTTCTTATGTATTTTTAGTTATAAATGTTAATTGAGTTTTAATTATTATCTACGACTGCTCAATTAAAGCTCATAACACCTCGTTCAATAATGTGTGTGACTAACTAATTAAAACACATTTTTTTGCCAAAATTCGTTTCTATTCATCACCCCTTTTAGGATGATACAATCATTCCAACGCTTTTGCAATCTTTCGATACTGCCTTTGTAAAACGATTTTTCTTTGCCTTCAAAATAGGCGTTAGTTTCGGCGATTACTTCATCATTTGAGCCAAATCTCTTACCACAGAGCATCTTTTTGAGGTCTGCGAAGAGCCAGTAGTCGCTGGGGGCCAGATCTGGAGAATACGGTGGGTGCGGCAGCAATTCGTAGCTCAATTCGTTCAATTTTCCCATCGTTTTCATCGACTTGTGACACGGTGCATTGAAAACAATACATCAATAGTGCATCGAATTGTTTTTATACATCAACAAAAAAAATTATCACATTCAAAACAGTGAAAATGTATACATGATTGTCGTACGACTATGACATCCACACAAAATCACTCTATATAAAAAATGGTAGTGCCATTTGGTTTGGTGTTATGACATGCTCCATATATTTTGGAGCGATAATTTATTATTGCCAAATTATCACCAAATTCTTTTAGAAGTAAAATTGAAAATATGGAATGGAACTTAATAAAAAACCGAACCTATACTTCCAAGTTAATTACAATTCTTTTAGGTTCCTATTGCATTATTCTTTCTTTCTTTGTGATTGATCAGCTTTAGCTATCAGAAGGAACAGACTTTCAGGAAAGTATTTTCTTGACACTCTGTTAGACTGCTCGTTAGTAAGAAAAAAATGTCTACGTAAACTAAATTAGATAGTTCTAGTTCATTTACTGAGGTTTCTACTGTAGAACTCACATACGAATTTAACGAATTCGCTCAAGATTATACGAGTGAAAATGCTAAGATTAACAGAAAATATATATCCCATTCAATTAGAGGTGTATGTGTAAGTTCTTTGATAGACTATGAAAATTGGTTAGTTTTTTAATTTGTGCTTTAGGTTTTCATTTTAAAAATTATGAATTATTAAATTTCAATTAACATTTCACCATAATTAATAATAAAAAATAAATATTATATTTCTTTAAAATATACAAAAGTATATTTTTTGCTAATAATGGTATCAATATTATTTATTTAAGTTTAGAGGAACAAAATGTATTTTTAAATGTTTTAAAATTAATAAAGCACAATAAAGCAAAATTAATGAAACAATTTTTTTATTAAAAATTATAAATAGTTTTGTCTCTTAATTGTCTTGATTCACTACATATATTTTATATTAATTATGGTTTGTATTAGAATAAAATATTTTTAATATTTTATATATAAAATAAATATTTATTTTCTGTACACATAATCTTTTTACAATTTATTATTTAAAAAAATAGCATATTATGTCAGTATGGCAGCGAATTAATGACAGGTATAGAATTTCGAGTAGGGTATATTAGATAAAAATTAGGTAAATTAGTGAAAATTTTATAAGATGTTTAATAAATAAATAAATAAATTTGAAAACTTTTAACCAAAAATAAAAAATAAGTGCAATAAATAAATAAATAAATATTTACATAAGTGCAATGCAAAAAATTCACGAGAATATTTCAATTTACTTTACCTCAATTTACTCGAATTTGCACTCGGTCTTAATATTTAATTTAATTTACAATAATTTAACCTAATTATACATTAATTTAAGAAGTTGTATTTATACGTTTCGAAATTAAAGATTTTATTTATACATTCATATATTAAATGTGTATTAAGGATATAAATAAATAAATTTAAATATTAATTTATGTTTAAAAATTACAAATTTTATAAGGATTCATAAAAATTCAAATAATAATGTTTTTTTGACAGCTTGGCAGCACTTTTTCCAAACGGGCAGTATTCGCTTGAGCAGCGAGTGGCTGTCAGTGCTCAGCTGTCTGTTGTTTGAAAAAACTCGTGCAGAAGAGAAGACGTAAAATAAAAATATTGAGAATTTGTAAGAATAAACAAAAACGTGTAGCATGTGTGATGGATCCGGCAAATGTTGCAGTGAGTTTATAATTTTATTTGAATTATTTACATAAAATTTAAATACACTTTTATTGTGTGAATAAAATAAATATTTTGTGTGTAAAAATAATGTGGTTTGGAAATTATTAATCATCAAACTTAGACTTCAAGTGAACAAAAGAAATAACTCGCCATATGACAACAATAAAAATTAGATAAACTAATTATTAGATAATGTTAAAGGTAGCGAGTGCTGGCGCAATGTTTATATTTATATTTATAGTAGCAATTTAATTGTTTATATATTCAAACCAGAAGTGGATTTATGTCTGCTATATATGTCTGATATCTGATATATCAGACAGAATATCTGATATATCTGATATATCAGAAGTCTGATATATGTCTGCTATGTGTTTGCTCACGTATTTGATTTCACATAAAGCAAAAAAAAAAAATAAAAAATAATAATATAAACAAATATAAAAATATGAGAATCTAAACAAATATTTGCTGACAGCCAATATGAGAAAATTAATTTAAAGAAAAAAAGTACATAAAAAAACATATGCAGAAAATTCTAATTAAAAACTATTAAAAAAAATAGAAAATGTAAAATCAAAAAAAAAAATTTCAAAATTTATGAAAAAATCCCTTACAAATTCTTGGAAATGTGATTCACTCGATTTTAATTTATGGTGATTATCGTGCAATAAACATTAAATGCGCTAATTAGTAAAAAAAACTACATAAACTTGTTATAGATTTGTGAACATAAAATTGAATTTATAATTGAAAATTGCAGTTTTTTAAATATTTAAATGTTGTAACTGCCATTCAGAGGCTAAATAAATTGAATTATTTGAGATAATTTAATGCAGTTTTATAAAAAATAAAAAGTAAATTAATTCAACGACAAAACTATCATAAAATGACCTGCTTAGGCTGTCGGAAGTAAAATTAATATAAAAAAATTCCCCACATCATTTACTAAAGTGATTTAATACGTCATTGAAAATGTAGTCATTAGTAAGTGGACTTACTTCCTTGTTGACATACCATTCCACAAATAACTACATATGTATATTGCCAATCAGTAATTAATTTAATAAATTTCCATTTTAAATGAATCATTTGCAATTATAACTCATTTACTATTTCGCACAATCTGTTTAAGTAAATTTTATAAGGTTCTTCCGATTTTTTAGGGACGTCACTTTGACAACGGATTTTAGTAAAGATAAAAATTCTGGGAACTTTTTCCACTACGTAATAGTATAAAATGACTTCATTTTGTAAATATCGGCTTTTGAAAATACTTAAATCAGTTTATGGTATAATTAATGTATTATTATTTATTATTAAGTAATAGGCTACGAATGTACCACAACCTAAAAGAAGGTCTATTGTGCGCCTAAGGGTCCCACTAAAACAATTCTAGACTATTTATAAATCTCGTAATTGCTGTGGGGTTGATTTTACTAAATAGGTAAGAAGACTAAGATCCCGCTTACAAGATAGACAAGTCTACGGCTGTCTTTTCTTCTCCTCATGACGCAGTCGACAGGGATCATTTTCTACCGCACCAAAATTCTTCATGTGGTAATTAAGTTTACAGTGTCCTGTAAGAAGTTCAGTGTAGAATTTAATAAGTATAACGTCAACTTTGATGTGTTCAGAATAAATGAATCTTCTTGACTGCCGCATGCCTGGGGTCTTCAAGTACATTTTGTTTCTCCCGTTCACATAATAAGTTATTTGTAAAGCTATTTGTTACCCCGCAGAAAGGCTCTAGACCAATGAATGGAGTACATGCACCCTTATTTGCTAGGGAGTCTGCTATTACATTGCCTTCACATCTTACATGTTCCGGTACTCACATAAGACTAACATAGTTCCTCGATGCTAGGTTATTAAGCATTCCCAGATCAACTTTAATTGGAATAAGAAGTTTTAGACCTGATTGGCTGCCCGAAGGAATGCATATTTTGGTATCTCGGGAACCCCTGCGTAAGCAGTCTCTGGCTCTGTAATTTCATTATTTCTCCAAATTGATTGGTAACAGATGACTACTTCGAATTTCTTAGAGAACGCTAATCTTCGATTCATCTTATCAAAGATTTCAAGACACGGAGAGTTCCAGACTTCATCCAGAATCTTTGCGTGCCCTGTTAGATTGTCCTCTTTAAAATCACATAGATAAGGAAGCCTTAAAGTGGTACTAGTCGCGGTCCTTTTAATCGTGAGTTGTGATGGAGTGAGTCCAGTAAGGTTGTTGTGGGGCACGTTCACATTGCTTCCGCTACGCTTAGATAGGCTGTTCGATGAATCTTGTTAAATAAATATATAAGTTATATCTGCTAGGACTCACTACCAGATATAGATGCAATAGGAAATTTTTAATTATATTGACTATTTCATACAAATAAGGAATTACCTATGTACAATAAAAACCACCCAAAAATAAAATTAATATGAAAGTATGTAATCATATTTCTAGTTCCATAGTTCATTACACTGTTAACTTCGGAAATATAAATCCAAATAGTAGATATAAATTATTCTCAACGAAATAATAAAAAGAATAAAAAACCTAACTAACATATGATTGTATAGATTAAACACAATAAAATTCAGAATACTTGAACTTTGACATATCAAAGTAACCCATAAACACCTTATATCCTAGATCCTCACGCTTTAGCTTTTGTAGAGAGGAACTGCGCTGCTTCAATAACACGAATTTAATATGAACGTGACTGTCTTTTATAATTATACAAATAATATACCATGATTTTCCTAATCCGACCATCAATCTATATATAAATAATTTTTCTTTTTAAAATACAATTATATTTTTAACTTACTCTACATTATTCCGATAGAACATATCTCTTTTAATGTATTATTATCGTTTGCCTAATTAACTAAATATAACTAAGATAGGACTTGCTTTTAAGACTTTTAGTTGCCATAGCCTAAGATAGGCTCTTAACTTATAATCATGGTTAATTTGTCAACAAATAAAAAAATAAAATAAAATAAAATTCATATATTAAATAGTAATAAATATTATCAATTTGAGGTTATCTGACTGAGAACCTTAAGGCACCTACAAACAGATGCGGTACGGTATTGTACAGTGTCGTACGAGGTATGGAGAATACATAAGGCAGGTAACAAAACAAATGCGGTACGGTACGTGCAGTCTGTGTACTTGTATTTATACAACATACAAATTCCCACTCACAGCTTGTTTTAATGAAAATGGCAATATTCTACTATATAAATCGGTAATTACAATAGAATATCGTAAACTGTCGTGTTATCGCACATCATCTGCTTATGTTATCACATATACCGTAAATTTAATAAAAGTACTGCATAACGTATCATATCGCACCGAGTCCTCCAGAACTTATCTAAGACAAAATACATATTTTCGTTGGAGTTAATTCTTCTGCACCGTGTAGTCCGTTTAAAGTTAGTGAACAGGTAATACTACTGCACCACGGTCAGATCTAGAAAATATGCCGCTAGAGATAGGAATTAAAAGTGTAGTCAGTATAATTTTGTTAACGTTATCTTGATGGAAGAGTACTGCTTATTTATAGTGAATAAAAGCATTGTATAAAATTGTATAAAAAATCAGAAACCTATACAGAGACTCATTTAAAGGAGGTTTATGAAAACAAGTTCAAAGTTTATATGAAAACATATGAAAACATTCGTTATATCAGTTATTTCATTTTAAAAATAATCAATGGTTGCAATAACATGACAATCTGAAAACATATACTCCATATATATACTCCATCTTTTAATCTGTGGCTGATTCCTGTTGATGAATTTCTACTAGGGTGATGGAACCTATTAACCTATTTGTGCTTTCAGAAATTAACCAATTTGAAATCAACTTTCGACTTTCCTTACTTATTGCTGAATGCATTAAGTTTAGGTAGATAATTAGATAATCATATAATGATTTCTTAGCCAAAAAAATACAAAAAAAAGTAAATCAAAGTGTTCGGTATTAACTCAGACTAATAATTAACTCAGAATAATAATTGTGTCAAATAAAAATCCATCCGAAAACAATCTGTATATCTTGAAAAGCATTTATTTCAATAGAGTTCGTAATATGTCATGCAAGTTTTGAATGATTACAGTGTGGAATAAAAATAAAGTATTTCTTTTGCTTTTTAAATTTTTCATTGATTTTAAACTTATTTAAGGCTGTTGATCTGAAATTTATAATCCGTATTTCTCTTACACATATGGATCTCTGATAATAACTGGTTAAACTTTAAAATTTAAGATATTAAAGATTTAATAGAAAACTTTTCACATTAAGGGTTACAAATTCTGTGTCGTTAGAAATTTATACGAATAAATAGATAAAAATATGTACCTTGGACATCCCTCCCGAAATTTCCCTCCTTCTCTATTCAAAATAAGGAATTCTTCTAAAATATCTTATAGACGTTTTTTGTTTGCTACAGAATTATTTAAGAAATACTTGAGATATAAGGAAAAGGAAGAATGGGGATATCTGCGGAAAAAAGTTTATCTATTTATTCATAGCAACTTTTCGAAATACATAAAAAACGCACCTAACAGAACAAAATTTTTATTGATTCTTTAAAAGCTGATATTTTAAAATTTAACCTATTATTGCTATAGAAACAGATGTATGCTAAAAAACAGGTTGTAGATTTAAGCTCAACATTTTATATATAGTAATCCCCCTACAACGCGGTAGCCTTACAAAGCGTTTACATATATTATTAAGCGATATCAGTCCCCCGTACAATATGGACATTCCACAATATAACGCGGGGAATTGTACCCCTATAACGCGTTTTCCTATAACGTGGAACCAATTTACCACGTTATAGGGGGGATCACTGTATTGAATAAAAAAGCATCGCAAACTGCTGTCTTATTAAATCTCATATAATTTATGTAAATTGCTATTAAAACTATCTTTTTTATAATGTTGAGTATGGCATATTTGTTAATAATATTAAAATATAATAAAAGTTTTTTTATTTTTTTTTTAAATTTTTTCTGATATTTCCATAATTTAAATAAATTTAAACTTTGCAAAGTGAGAATGCAGAATAGGACACTCCTCGTTAGTATTTTCACGGAGTGTGAAGAATTACAATCACGAGTGCATATCCCAAAACCCAAAAGAAAAAAAATTTGTGAATAAAGTTTGTTGCAAACTTTGCACTTGCTAACTATCAAACTTTTGCTTCTACTAAGCTACTAAAAATAAAATGAAAAGATTTTAATAAAAATAATTTTTTAAGCATTCTTCACAATTTAGAGCCACAAAAAAAAACTCTTCAGTTAGATACGAGGAAAAAAAAACGAGAAAAAATTAAAAAAATTTTCGTTTCACTAACTTTGAGGACAATTAAAAGTGTTCTGAAATAAGAGTTTAGGTTAATTAAATTAATTAAAAACCCACTTTAAGCAATCGCGTAGAATATACAGAAAAAAAATTATTATTCAAAATGAATTAAATTTTTTATTTTTTAAACAAGTATCACATTACATAGAAATGCTCTGCTCTCCTCAAAGCGAAATCGCAGTTGTGAAACATCACCCAAGAATGAATGCGAGATTTTGCAAGACAAGCAGTTTTCCTTTGCAAACTGACCCATTTCTGTTCCAAAGCAGGTCTTCGCCTTATCACTATGGAAATGTGTCGTCAAGTATGTCGTCATGAGCAGTATTCATGCGCTGCAGTTTCATACTCTAATCTGCATTGTTTATAATATTAATATACTACAATATATATGCATATGCATATATGTGAATTCACTTTAGTAATTAAAGTAAATCGCATATGCAAAGGCATATGTAAATCTTATTACACGAGTGTGAATTTGTTTTGCTAAGATAAGAAAGTTAGCGAGCGCATATACACGCTGCAATCAAATTCTACAATGAAAACTTGAATTCTTAGTTTTTATAGAAAAACTAAACAAATTTCTGTGTTATGCTTTTATTGTTCTATATTAACTGAAAGTGTTAAGTCTATAATTTATTTTTAACATAATGCTCAACTCTTCCATTGAAGATCAACTGGAAGCAGAAGCTATACATAATAATGAACAGCTGTTGGGGTTTGATTTGCGCAGCAAAGACATAACATGGAGGGAGTATATTACACCTTTGCAACCACGTGCCGCTCCAGTCTACTTACAAAGACAATTTCAATTGATTAGCAATTATAGAGAACCCATCGGTAGTCATAATCGACGAGAAGTTTTAGTATGCCATGATATGATGGGTAACTACTTGGAAGACAGGTTAATAATTTTTATTGTGATATGAAATAATGTGCTTAAAAAATAAATTGTTTTGTTTTAATCACATTACAGACATTATCATTCATCTAAAAAATATGATGACTATCGATTTTATCACTGGAGTGGGATTGATTATTTCTGCTACTTTAGTCATTCCTACATTAGTATACCACCTTGCGGTTGGATTAATGCTGCACACAAACATGGAGTCAAAGTGCTTGGTAAGTACAATATTTGATTAAGATTTGTAATAATTAAAAATATTTTATAAAATTAGAATTATTCGTGAATAAAAAATTTTAGGTTAGTTTAGATAAAGTGAAGGAAGAAACGAAATCTCCACAATTACCTGAGAAAGCCGTTTTAATCTAAAAAACTTTAGTTTAAATAAATTTAAATAGTGCAGTGTGTGTTTTTCATAATACATAATACATTTTACAAATATAACACTACAACAATTTTTATTTTAACTGAGAGATTTCAAACAGTAGTAAATAGTAACAACAACATTTTTATTTATTTCTAATTAATTGAATTTTTATTAACCATGTCACTAGTTTCAAAAAAATCTGATATTTTTACAAAAAGATTTTAAAACTTCTGCTTTAATAATGTTTTTTTACATACCATAGAAGAAGTGAACAATATTTTAAAGAATCTTATTTCAAAGCCCTTGTATTATATGGTAGTATGTCGACTAGTATATGAAATTTAGAATTTGCTTTTAAATCATAATTTTATTATATACGGAGAGTTTTGATCTTCGTCCGATAAGCCAATCTGATATACTAGTTTTAATTAAACCAGAATGTGATTAAGCATAATGATTATGCGAATCATAAATAATCATTTAAATTAATAACTGACGAATAGTATCTTAAGTCAAATTGTAAGCGGAAGAAACATTCTTCATATTATTTTACCTTATATTATTAACATAATACTAAAATATACCTATAACCTGTTAGTGATTGGCTATTTATAGTATTTTAAAATATTTTAACAAAAAAATTGGGTGCTACATAGCACTGCAGTGCTATTGAAAAGCATCATTTCGTAAACTGGAAGACTGGCAGAATATTGAATACAATATGAATGTATTCATGGCAGTCATCTGCCATATTGTTATGCATTTCATGCATAATAAGTTCATACATTACTAGATGTAATTTTGGCTCTATGTGTTTAATAACTTATTTAGCAATTAATATTTAGTAACCACTACAGCTAGTATGCCATTAGCCTACGGGTCATTGATGAATTGCAGCGAAGTGGTAGCTGTCTGTAGCTCTTGTATGCTTAGAGATAGTAGAGCTAAATTATCATCTTTTATAAGAAAAGCTTTTAATTATTCTATAAGCTAAACATATAGCGTAGACATTCTTGATTTAACGGTTAGTATTTAGCTCGACTGGTATATTATGCTTCTTTAGGGCTTTGTTGGTTTTAAGCCAACTGATAGCCATCTAAGTCTCTTCTATCCTTGGGTATGAGATTTCCATCGTTTTCTATTCAATGGACCTTTTGGCAGTACTTCCACGGCAATTATTGTACCTGTTTTTTTTTGTATTAAGCAAATAAGTTATTAGAAAGTATATGTGGATTATTGATAACCAATAATTTTAGGAAATTTAGAGCAAATATTTTCTGCGTTCAAAAGCAATTCTTATTTCGTTTGATAATCGATGTTCTTGCTCGATAGCTTCATGCTTTTCCTTAAAGCCAAATTGGTGAATAAGGATCAAACGGTTTTCACTAAGGAAAGGCTGCAGATTTTTCAGTAATATTTTTTCATAGGCTTAGAGAAACAATGTAGAAGGCTGGTGGATCTTTAAGAAACCCTTTACCTGTTTTGTGAACTATTGTGATTAAAGATTTATTTTACTCGATTCAGTAGTAACCAAAGATACTAATAGCATTAAGAAGTCTGGTGATAAAGGATGATAGTATAGCATTTTGGGTATGATTTTGTCATATTCAGATACTTTTTAGCCAATAAATTTTTTTTTGAATTATTTTCATTTAATAAGTATAACTTATAAATATAAATATAAATATAAATTATAAGTTATAAGTATAACTTATAAATAAATTGGAGAAATTCATGTCCTGTAATGTAATATTTGATTGAAAGACTAGACCTAGGTGAAAACATTTGTTGTGTCTTTGCCGGTCTCATCCCATAGTGATGTTACAGTGACTTAGGATTTTTAAGATTTTACAGGCGTTGCATAAAAAAAAGTTTCCCTCCATTTGGAGATATGTTTTCAACAAGGTTAAATTGTTTCTTAAACTTCTCGTTTATTAGAGCAAACTTTTAATTTATTTAATTACATTAAATTTACAGCAAATAATAACTTAATTTTAATCTGAAGAAGTATCAATTGTTTAGAAAACATATTAAATTTGTCTAAAATAACAATTGTTTTAGGTAATTAATTTTCTTAAAGCAATTATCTCTATCTCGAACATATTATTCTCATATACTAGGACATCATATTACTAGGAAATTATTTGTTTATTTATCTAAATAAAATATGCTCATTCTGCAGTACTCTACGGCTCGACTAAACTCACTTTGTTTATATGAAATATTTCAGTGAATTCTGATTAAAATCAAGAAAATTTATGTAAAATTTATTGAATCACATACAGATTTACTGATCTCCATACCACTGCTATATATATATATATATATGTTTATATATTCTGAATTTTGTAAACTGAATTCCATTTCGTAATAAAATCTGAAAGTTGCATTGGGGAAATGCGAGTATGCAATCAGTCTATAGTCGAGTGCCGTAAATAAGGGATTTTTGACATGATTTACACATGAATTTCAATTTAGTTGTGTCCTTTTTTAATAATTTAACTTTCCGAATGTTCAATTGTAAATCACACCGCAAAAGCAATTAACTATGTGCACTTGTGTAGATGACTGCATAAAAACACATAAAATGCATACCGAACGAATGCACATCTCTCTACATTACCGGTACCCGTAGATACTATATATCTGAATATATATACATATATGCAAAGCTTATAATGCAATGTATTTTATATGAGAAAATTTGTGTTTTTACAGGTACGTTCATAACCGAAGGCGGCAATACCAAACTACTCCATGAAGTGCTGCAATCCAGGGAAATGGTAAACAACGTCGTAACTGCCATGGTGAAGTTGTGCAAACATTTCGGCTTCGAAGGTTGGTTTGTCAATGTGGAATGCAAAGTAAACGCGGATGCAATGGAGAATTTATAGTGAGTATTGATATTACGGTTAAAGGCGGTTAAATCAGAAACGGACCATACTAAATGGAACGTGGTGTTTATTTACATTACTTTTTTTTCTCATTTTTATTGTTTGTTTAATACTTTTTGTTTTGAATATGAAATTGTATCTGTGCTCATTCAGTATGCATATTTTTTATGTACACATGTGCATTGATAACCATTAAGTAGGCAAAATATTTGTTTATTGGTTTGTCATATTCATACTTATATATATAGAAAAACTTTCACATAAGAGGAAACTGAAAGCGAGTTTCTGAATGAAACTTTATCAGCTTTTTCACACGTTTGACACATATGGTCGTTCACAATGTTGCTAAAACTGATAAAATTATATACTATAAACATACATTTTTTTTCAGTAAGATTAAAATATAATATTTTTTAAATGACCACTTCTGTTTAAATATTGCAATTTAATTGATTTATACTCAAAACAACAAAAAATCAATTAATATTTTCTAAGAATAACAATAATCTATTGAAACTGATACACATATGAATAATATGATGAAATATTGGGAAAATAAAATTTTATATAAATAATGATATAAGCAATTTCTGTATGAAAACATAATGCATTTGTCTAAATTTAGACAATTTGATCGTAGAATTCAGTATCTATGCAAGACAAGCTTTTACGACAAATATTCATAGGTACCAAGATTGACTGGGGCTACGTTTGGAAGTTACTTTTATTTTCAGACGACTAAGCACTGCTCATTCTTCCCAAACAAAAACTGCCACTGCTTTCGGAATTTCTAAAAAGGTTATAAGTTATTGGAAGTTAATTATATTTTCATACGAACAAGTGTTACTCATCTCTCCCAAACAATAACTCAGTCTGCTTTTGGAATTTTCAAAAAAATTATAATAACAGTGATAATATATAAGTAAGACGCTAGAACTTTACGGCTTAGATAAGATAGAATAACAATAATATTATTATAATTTTATATCCGCCTTACGATTGTAGACTTGTTAGATATATACTTTTTTAAGGATCGTATTAAGTTGAGTTTCTTTAGTTCAGAATATAATCTTATTTCTTATTTTAGATAAACTAAATTTTATTTAGTTAAGACCGAGGCGTCTTAGGCTTTTACTATAAGTCTTCATACTTTTTATGAGACCTTCCCTTGAAAAGAATCTTCAACTCCATAAAAGGTACAAAATACTTTAAAGATTCTCAGTTTTCTTATATGATAATACAATAGATCACGTTTTTTAAAACGTCGACTGATCTAGCAACTGATCTGATAATCGACAACATTTATTCTTGAAAGCAGTGACACGCAAAATATATTAGTATAAATAGATATTGCGTCTAGAGAAAACTTCGTAGCAGAAAGTCGACAAAGCCAATAGACTAACAAGTTAAAGAGAAGTTCTAGGTGTTCTTTAACACTTGAAATGAGCCTTGTATTAATACGGGCTCATATTTCTCTACCAATGTACTTAAGAAGTGTAAAAGTACATATATGTTAAGTGATGTTCATAAAAATGATAATTCAGCTAACGTAAGAAATATTTTAGAAATATATGTAGAATGTAAAGAAGAATGACAAAAAACTGGTTATCCTTTTTAACTATACAAGTAGAAGTTGTAAGAAAGAAGAAAAAAAGAAAGAAGTTGTAAGGAAAAAAGAGCACTTTATTTGCAAATGCTTAGACTTGCTAAGATAAGAGAATCTATACTGGTGCCACTAATAGTCAGATCAAAATTATCATATGTTTTTAAAAGACACTCGCCGTTCTGATTTATATTCCATAGACCATGTTTTTGCATTATGTCTTCAAAGTGGATGTTATCAGTTTCAATCACTCATGTTGACTGTTATGTCTCCTGTCGGGATTATTAAAAGAGTTGATTCTAGTAAAACATATTTTTCATTTGACCATATGCTCCAACAGGAGTTAAAGGAAAACATCATAATAGATGTCTATGAGTTTCTATGAGCTTGACAGACATCTCCAACTTAGATCTTCAAAATATGATCTCCTTATTCAATTTTTAATACCGTGCGTTTGGTAGCAAAATGGCGCCTATGCGCTGTATGGATAGAGGAGAAAGCTTTACCGCCATTTCAAATCAAGCATCTATAAAGTTATAAAAATATACATCTAATATTTAAAACAATAAAATTATGTATGAGACGTGAATGAATATTTTTAAAATTAATTTAAATAAATTTTATTTGAAATAATTAATACATTATTTATTGTTTATTATGCCTATTTTTTGTCAATCATTTTTCAATTGATCGAAAAATTATCTATTTTAATTGATATTTATTTCATTTTAATTCTCAAAATTTCAATTAATTAAAAATTTATTATTTAAGCTGTCAGTAATGTAATGCCATTTATTAGTGTTTATGTTATTATTATTAAATGTATTTTCCGGCTAGAAATTAAATTCTTAATTAATTATTGATTATAAATTATTAAATTAAATATACTCCAATTTTGCCATGTGTGCAAAATATGAAAATTTTAATGATAATGGTTTAGTTAAAAATACAAAAATATACTATTATATTACGATTACATTATAAAGTATTAAATTACAGCAAGAATTTAAGTAGGACAGTATCATGCTCTTTACTTCAGCCATTCATATTTTGCAATTAAAGACCACAAAACTGTAACTAATAGAGCGTACTGTATACATTATTGTTATTGTTTTTATATCGATTCTGTTAATAAGAGATGATATATTCAAAGTATAGGAAACAGTAACATATTTCTATAATATGGACACTTATATTCCTAACACAGCTAAATGGATATGTGACCTCTCCACTAGTGACTGTAATTAGCTTCTAATATTTTAAAGAAAAATACTAAGAAATATATAGTTATCTTTGAAAATGACATCTTTAGAAACCACACAAATATTCAACTAGTGTATCTGTTCGATAACAAAACTATCATTCGCTTTGTCAGGACAACACGAATAATAGTACACTTAAACGGATCCTTAAAGTATAATAAGGTTGTCTCAGGACAGGACAAATAACACTACACTTAAACGGATCCTTAAAGAATAATAAGATGAATTTAGGGCAGGAAGAATACAGTATATTGATGACTAGATATAGTAAAAGTTGACTTAAAAATCATGAACATGCGAAATTATGAAAACAACTCCGTTAATCGCACAATTTAAATACCATTATAAACGAAGATCTGACAGTTTTAAGGAGCTGAACTTCATTCTTAGTATTATAATGCACTATCTACTGAAATTTGTTAACAACCTGCATATTTTCATCAATGTTCGCTGTCACGAACTGCCTTTAAATACTCCTAATCTAGTATCACAAGACTTCTATTAAGAGTCTATACGCATTCTCTTACAGCCAGTATTCCCTATCTACCTGCTCGTATGTTTGTAAAAATATTTATTTTAAATTCTTTATAATTTTAAATTTATTAAATTATCAACTTTATAGTTCAAATATTTTTATTGTTTTCTGTTACTTAGAATTTTCTGAGAACTATAAAAATTATTTATCAGTTTAAATTAATTATTTTTGAAATTTTATTCTTGTAAATTCAATTCAATCGCAAAAATGGATTCTAGGAATTTTTTGAATTTTGCAATATAATATTTTACAAAACTGCTTTATGCACTAAAATTGAATCTTTACAAAAATCCAAAAAACATTTAAATAAATAGTTTAAATCAAATACCAGATAGTAGGAAAATTGGAAAATCTATTTACACAATTTACAAACAGATTAAATTCTTTATGTAATTTATCGTTTTAAATACTTTTAATAACATTTAATATATATGGTAATATTTTTATTTTCCTGCCAGTAAAAATCCTTTTTCTTTTATATATTCAGTATTTTGCATACAATAAAATTCAATTACATTTTCTTGAAACCTGTTACACTTTGAGGGAAGGACGATATGTGCGAAAAACACTTGACTATGTACACGAAAGGGAATACTAATTTAAGGATTATTTTAATAGGATATTTAATAATTGTGGTATTAAAATGATACCGAGTAATTGATGTAAGAGCTTATAGTGTAATTCCATATGTAAAAAAAAATGAATAAAGATTTCAATTTGAATATGTGTTAGATATGTTGAATTGATCTTTTTAATAGTAATACACAATACACAAGAATATTAAAAAATTTATATTTATATTCTATTATTAAATATTATTAAATCTGATAAACACAGGCAGATATAAAGGCATCAGATCCATCATATTAAAAAGCCCCGTATTCAGTTATTCTTAGTGACTTAAAACTGTCTACTGATATAATAGAGTTAAGGTGATGAATCACCAACTCAGACATCTGCATATCAACATTGTATAAGGTTTTTATATACTAAGACTAGTATTATACCACAAATTATGTGTTTTATCTGCACTATTTCTGTAGAACGTATTATTTTCTGAAACAGGCGAAGTCTATTGATACAGGGTGTTTCGTTTAAAAGTGCTTTAACTTTGTGAAACAAATCCTTACCCCGAAGAACGAAAAAGCTTGTTTTAAGAGATAAATACATACAAATGGTTCATGAAAAAAAGAAATCTCCTTTACCATGTAAGTTTATTTTTATATAAAAAATAAATAAAAGAATATATATAATTTTTATATAAACAATTAACCAGAAAGAAATGTGATATAAACTTTAAAAGTAATCAAGTCTTTCACAAAAATGAAGAAAATTTTTACAAAAATAAAAATATATGAAACATTACAATTTCTGAATCTAGTTAATTACAGATACATATTGAGGATCACATTAAATGATATTTAAAGTACTTATAGTACACATATAACTCAAATAGTTTTTTTAACTAGATAATTTTTGCGATATGAGATTTTTGTTAATCTCGGTATACATAGATTAAAAACGGACTTCAAGCATTAAATATACGATTTGTTTTAGTCTAAGTAATCAAAAGCTGGCTTTTAAGTGACATACCCTGTA